ATTCTATGAGATCTATTTAACGCAAAAACTGAAAGAAGCCCTTCGGCGACAGGACAAAGAAATGATGAACAGCAGCGAAACTTCTTCTGGCATTGGCTGTGCATCGTCTGATTACAGTGATTCCATAGCGCATGACTCTCTTAAGAAGGAATCACTCAATGAATTAAATATTGTTCTAAACTTACCACACAAAGAAGAAGAGGCGAGTGGCAGCAACAGTACTTCTGACGAACATCTAGAAGGCCATTTACATGAATCTGAAAAACTTAGTGTATATTCAGAAATATTACTTTCGTTTTCAACTGTAACTAATTTTAACGCAATTTGTGACAGAAATGTTGGATCAGATACAATTCCCTCTATTCATGGTCTGCGTGCTCTTTCGATGGCGTGGGTTATCCTGGGGCATACCTGCATCGTTGTATTTAAGTATTCTGATAATATGGGAATGCGGAAGGAAGTAGAACAAAATTTTTTCTTTCAAGCGATAACTAATGGCCCATTTAGTGTAGACACATTCTTCTTTATCAGTGGCTTCCTCATATCGTATTTATATTTTCGTACAAACGCCAAAGGAAAATTAAATAAACTTACCCAGGGTAAAAATGAGCTTTCCGCAGGATTCGCACACTTCATGGGGTTGGTAGCATACAGATTTATGAGGTAGGTTATCATAAAATAATAAATTAAACAACTAAATATTATTTTAATTTCAAAAGGTTAACAGCACCATATATGTTTGTATTAGGCGTAGTGCAAGTAACAATGAAATATTTAGCAACATACTCCATCTTTGACCCTCCCACTATGGACCACATTACTTGTCCTCAATATTGGTGGCGTAACTTACTCTATATAAACACATTGTTTCCTGTTGATGATATGGTTTGTAAAATAATATCAATTTTTTTTTATTATAATATATTGTTATATTGTAGTGCATGTTATGGAGTTGGTACTTGGCGAACGATACACAGTTTTATATTATTGGAGTGGTGATCCTTATTATTGGTGTGCGTCATTTTAAATTTTCGGCATTCACCACAATTGTATTTCTGGTGTCTTCGTGGATTACAACTGCAGTTATTGCATTTAGTAACAATCATCGTCCTGATACCGACGACCCCTTAGCACTTTTCGACAAAATATACGACAAACCCTGGACTAGATTGGGTCCTTACTTAATAGGTATGGCAGTTGGTTGGATACTATTTCGAACAAACTGCAAATTGCGTTTACATAAACTCACAGTAGCTACGGGATGGATATTAGCAATGTTAAATCTTTTTGTATTAATATTTGGACTTTATCGCGCACAACTATCTCGACTTATTGCTGCGGCGTACAGTTCGCTAAGTCATTCAGCGTGGGCACTATCACTAGCTTGGATCACAATAGCGTGTTCAACTGGATACGGAGGTTACATAAACACATTTTTATCTGCATCCTGGCTATATCCTTTTTCCAGAGTGACTTATTGTGCATACTTAGTGCACCCAATTGTCATACGATCAATGGCGCTAAATTCAGATGCACCACTGCACCTTGGCGGCGACACAATGGTAAAAAAATTATCAATATTTGAAAATATTTATATTAAGATCTTAAATTTTTATATTCCTTACAGGTTGTGATGTTTTTCGGATTAGTTGTAGCGTCATATCTACTTTCTTTTATTGTTTCGATATCATTTGAAGCGCCTGTTGTTACTATGCTGAAAATATTGTCTCCTAGTCGAAAGAAGCGTATCGCTTAACTTATTGCCTCAGAATACTCTTCGGAATAGGATTAATGTTCATTAAAACAAATTAAATTTTTTTTGTAAATAGATTTATTCGACTACTTAAATCATAATATTCTCTCATATGTATAATCGTGATAATCTTATAAGAACGAAATCTATTTATCAATCATTTTCATTTTTCACTTTAAAATTTTTTATAGCTTTACATTTCTCATTTAAATTCTCCGACAAATATTATATTATTAATAATTTATTCCAAAGGACACAAATGCTTGCTATTTGTGAATACGACTCATGTCATATGTACTAACTTCAATTTGATATAAATGCTTTAATTTATAAACACATTGTACATCTTTGTAAAATAAAACTTAAATAAATATTTAATTAATACATAATATAAGCAGATGATTGTTTCGAACGGGCTAAGTAAACGGAATACAGAGGTTATAACACAAAAGTTCACAATATTTTGTGATGAATTGTTAAAGAGACCTGACAAGAAAAAATATATAGAAATATAGAGCTATAAATATAAACTCTATATAAAGAAGATTATGTATTAGTAAACTCACTTAGATACAACACAGTCTTTTCTCAGATGAATACAAAAATAAAAATTTTAGTAACGTGTTGTTGTTGTAAATTTTAAAAAATTTACATTTTTATACTTTAAGAGGAAATATAACTATTATTGTTATTATGCATGTACATCCATGTTGAGATTTTTGGTATTTTTGAAGATGCAACAAATTCGAAATATGTTTTAAAATGTTACTGTGCATTGTGCTTCTGCTGCCCGTTGCTTCTGGAATTCGACAAAGCGACCGTTTAAACCCTATATTGTTCAGATATACAGAAAAACTTTGTATGAGTGAATTGTTTATTTTATAACTTTTAGGAAGACAGTTTCTATGTAAAATTAAATATGTCGGAGATATAAGCAATCAAAGATGAATTTTATGGAAAAAATCGTTATTTTCCAATCTTTGGGGCACCATTTCCACTTACCCAATTGAACTAAAATTTTACACAGATTATTTTTTTAGTAAAATGAACCGATCTGGGAGCTGCCGTCAACCAATTTTTCTAAAAAAAAATTGCCCATATACCTTAATGGCACCCCAATGTAGCACCTTCTTGTAAGCAGCGCATGAGGTCTCATGAGCCTCAGTTCGCACTCTTGCTCACGAGCGTGAGCTCTGAAATTGGGCTCGCTCGTGAGCGTGAGCCATCGTATGAAAAGACTCAAATGCACACTCTGCGCTCAATAGCTGTCTTCACTTGTCGGGACCAAATGCGCAATGATGACATTAGGCGGAACATGACTTCTTTTAAACTTCACTCATAACTTCGAAACTAAAACGCTTGACTGTAAGTTTAATGTAAACGTCTTGTATATCCTTTCATATTATTTGCTTATTTGCTTACTCCAGTGGGTTACTACTACAATAACAACAACTTGGAGCAAAATTTTTGTTTAAATAAAATTTGATTTATTTTTATATGGAAAGCTCCCAAATTACATTTATATTGTAGTAAGAATCACTTAATTCTTGACTAAGGACCATCATTTTACATATAAAAAAATAAAAACTGCATATCGAACTTGAAATAAATAGTTATGCATACATAGGATTCTTAAATCAGAAATATACCATATTAATAAATATTTTATCTTAAATAAAATAATAATTAAATATTGGAATGTACTTATTTATCTTTTTTTGTCTTTATGTCATCATTATTCAATGATACTTCAGTCTCAGTTGTGTTTTCAATACATATTTCGGAATCAATCCGATTTTTATCAACTGGATACAACCAACGTTGATAAAGATAAATTAGAAACACAACATCATCACGTAAACATGCAACCCGATGAGCAGTAGGCATAGTTATTATAAAAGCGAAGAAATCGTCTATGAAGGTATTGAATGCTTTATATGTGAACGCACGCCAAGGTAATGCAGCTACAGATTTCAATTTATAATTTATAAAAAGTTGGGGCAACATAAATAAAAACCCAAACGCATAAACTCCGTTCACAAGTGAATGCAGTGTCCACGAATACCAACTTTTATGTGGTTGATATAAAAGAGAGTATATTGCTCCCCCAATACACAGTGGATATAATAAATAACTTAAATACTTCATGCCTTCTTTATCAAATTCTTCGGTTTTTTTTTCGGCAGACCCTTCAACTGCACTGGACTTGTCTTCATATTGTTGCCTACTTATGCCTCTAAAATTTAAAATAATTTTAAATATTTTTTTACACTTCCACATTTCAAGTAATACTGAGGTGCCGGCTGGCAAAAGTACGAGAAGCGATGTTTTTTCATCTAGCAAATACAATAAAATAATTACTTGTGAAAATGCACGCCACAAAATAGTTCGTTTAGACAATCCTTCATAAGACTCCTTTTTCCGCCAAAAATGAACTTCATTTTTAAAAGCTAATATGTCGAAGAGCAGCTGAAATTAAGAAATGTTCACAAAATACATCGTTTTTCATTTCCATTTGCAAAACTTACATGTATACTTGCCACCAACATTGTACTACATAATAAATACATATTCGTATCAGAAAACATGTTTTTGACATCATCAATGTCACTTTTGGAAAGCCCAATTGATTGCATCATATTCATAGCATGTTCAAATATTAACAACAAACGTAATTTACCAATGCCAATGGGTTTGAAGTGAAAGGTAAGAGCAAATTCCGTCGTATTTTTAGTAACTTTAACCAGGTCTTTTTGATACGAATTAAAGAAATCAGTCTTCATTATCGGTAACACCTGCCGATTTCGATTAACATGTATTAAATTTGCCATCTCTGGCGCAACGTCTTTTGGTGATAAAGAAAATATGTCTGTAAGTAAGGCTACATGCACACTCGGCATAATATGAGTGATTGGTTTCAGCGATGAGTTAGCGTTGCCTTTAGCCAATTTTTCTGCTTTCACTGTGTGATCCTATTATTTGTTAATGAGATTAAATGTTAATAAAATTTTGAGGCAGTTGAGGTAAGTTTTAGCTTACTTGTTCACCAAGCAAATTAAATGCAGTTACTTGAGGTACCATATATTCAGTTATTCTCATGCTGTGAATAATTGTAGGACCATCCCTACGAAGAGATTTCCATTCCAAAGGTTCACCCTCCAAAGCTAATACAACCTTAACAAACAATAATTGTATAATCAGGGAAATTAAACATAAATAGAGAACATTTACTTGCATATAAAGTGTACCGTTTCGTCGAGTTTTGAGTGGAATGTCCAGGTTAAAATCATGATTAAATGGATGCCAATAATCAAAATTATTTGAGCTGAAAATTTTTGTTACTTCTGTTGAAATTGGATTTGAACTCGTTGATGTAAAAAGCGCTAATTGTAAGCGAGGCTTTCCCGACAAGAACGAGATGTAGCACGGCTCCTCAGAGCACTTAAGTTTAGTAAAAAGTTCGGACATCATCCAAATAGAATGGCAGATGAAAGCGATAAAAACACTGGCCACAATCGTACTTATTGATGGCATCATCATTTCTGCTTTACTCTTTTAATATAAATTATAAATGTTTACGGATTGTCTGCAACAGCAATTCACCGTTTTAGTTTTATTTATTTACTATACACTCAGCTGACGAAAGAGTTTACAGGCAACCAAAGAAAAATAGCTGACGTGAAGTCTATTTTGCTCTTCATTATGCGCAAAACCAAAGAATACATTTCAAAAAACGAAACTTCGAAATTCAACAAAATTTATTGAATTTCACTTGAGACAGAAATGTCAAACGAAAATAATTGAATTTTTTTATTGAAATGAATACGGAAAATTGTATTTGAAAATGAAGCAAATCATTTTCAAATGATGTTTACTTAAAGCCTGAAAATATACAATAGCTATCAAAAAACAGAAAAGCCATTTACTCTGAGTGTAATATTGGGTGTATTCGGAAGCTCTGAAGCAAAGAAGATAAAGAAAAGAAACTGAGAGGAAATTTTGAATAATGGTGCCTCTTTGTGTAATATCGCAAAGAAAATCTCTTTTACTTATTTACCATACCAGAATTGTCAAATATTAAAAACGGTGTGGCTTATAACTTAAATATTTACTACATTTGTGGTTGCATATTAGCATGTAGCCATTTCTTCTAATTAGAAGAAATAGTATAAATTATTGTTCTTGGAAAATCCATTGTATATATTAATACGATTATAATGAGTAAATATAGGCATGATTTTTTATATCAGTTTTACTTCAATTTACATAAAAGTTTTAAATGCGCTATATAAATCAAATATAAATGAAGAATTGGTAAACTAAAATCAATAGTAAATATAAAGTAGCTATTATTGATATATGTAAATATGTATATATAATTAGTCATGCAATTGTTTTAATAAAGTCAAAAAAATTGAATCGTATTTATTAAAATAAAAGTTTTTTTAATCATGTTGCACATATACGTACTATATTTATATGTATGCTGAGCATCTAATAGAAAAGTTAGTATGTGTTCATACATTTCGAGTATTAGGTTGCATTGTTTTAATATTTTGTTTTAAGAAGATTAATATTAATATAATTTTTTAAAATTCAAAAAAAGTTTGGTATATTGTAATACAATTTTTGCTTGTGCATCAAATTTTTTCAATATAGAAAATCGTAAAAATGTATATACTGTTTACTACTACATATTTTTTGTAGTTTTAAGCAATCCTTTCAGTAAGGTGAAATGTTTTTTGCATATGAAATTCAAGAAATTCTTAATTAGTTAATAACAACATTGTTTAGAATAAGGATCAATTTCATCGCATAGTGTTAGAAGAAATATTAAATATATAAGCATTTTCCGCATCACCTAAGAGGTATGCTTGCTGGCGTGTTACCGAGTTTTAGGTGTTCGGTTCCCCAATAGGCCTATCCACCAAAATATTTTATTTAACAAATATACAATTTTATGTAAATACAATTTAGAATAACTTAATATATACAAAATAATATTACTATTTTAAAAATATTTAATATTAAACCAAAAATAATAAGGAACTATTAAATTAAAGATAAATTATAAATAAATTTAATAAATTATAAAATTAAAACTGAAATATTTTTTGTTTAAGCAAAAAATCACTTAAAGAGTATGAACATTTTTGTGCTGTTTATAAGTGTTGAAAGCATAATTCTTTATATTTAAAATTCGACACTTTATTATCTCGATTGAAATATTTTAAAATGAAGTAAATTCTTACTTTAATGAAAAAAGATAGAAGAGTTTCAATTTTGCAATTAGAGCAACATATATAGGGATGAACGTTTTCTAATTTATTAAATAAATGTTGCGCTAAACCTAATTTATAGCAATTGCTATCGAACTGATCCGAAAATTGTGATTCTAATTTTTCAATATATGTATATATAATAACAACACTCAATCAAAGTATAATTAATAATATTAATTTCTCTTCAGGATTTTTCCTTTTTTATAATTATTAGTATATCATGGAAAAAATAAAAAATAAAAGCACAACTTAATTCGTAGTTTATTATACACACTAATTAGGCACACATCTAAGTTTCTAATGTGTTAATACATTTATGTTTTTATTTTATTCTACAACAATAAATTACCGTTATTTTTAATTAATAATATACCTTCGATAATCCTTTGGAAAAATATAGAGATGTTTGAAATTTAAACATCCAAGTACGCACTTTCTTTTCGATTGTAAATAAATTTTTATTAACTAATAATTCATATATTTTTCTGGAATAATTACCTTTTTTAATGCTTTTATAATTGAAAACAAATTCCGCCTTATTTTTCTTTTAGTAATGTGGTATTTGTGCACTTAATTGCAACTTTGGCGCATTTTCTCGTAACGGATTTTTAATGTCAAAAAACCAAAACAAACAACGAAATTTCTCAGAAACCTCTCTTACTTTAGCAAATATCGTGGTGAGTAGGGACCGGGTGGGCAAAGTAGCAGGGTCCGGGTGGGGAAAATATTCACGCGCCATTATGTAGCATTAGGCTTTTTGTTATTGTACTGCGTAATATTTTCACCTCATTACACAAAATTTTTGAATATTTTTTGAATAATCCAGAAAAATTTATACACAATTTTTCGAGTAACTCTCAGTTTCTTTTCTTTATCTTCTTTGCTTGAAGTATGTCTTAAGGTTGTAAGAGCATTGTTGTTGCTTCACATGTTTTCTTTGTAAATTTCGAATATTTTTTTGCTACTCTGAAAGAAAAAATTACGGCTAGACTGGTTAAAACATATGTGGCGTCTACACGCCTACATGTTTTCGAACATCTCGTCCGAACATATGAATAGTTGAAACATAAAATGTAAATATTGTAAATAACTACCTTAAATAAAGTAACACTTCCTTCTGGAGTGTAAACGAATTACACACATATTACACACTTTACCATTATCCCGTATTATTTTATTCATATCCTAGTATTTCACTATTTAGTTAATTAACAACTGTAAAGCGGTCTCATAAACTTGATTTATTTTATTATATATTCCAATATTTACGTTAATAAATTTTTAATTTGATTTGCTAGAAGTAAAACGCGTTTTTAATTAAATTTGAAGTTTAATTGATTGCTGGAAAACCTGACAACTGCCAAAAGTAAATTGTGCATTTAACTATTGCACAAATGCATACATACTCATAAATACACACAGATATATAACATATATGTATATACATATAGAAGAATGCTAAGATACACATTTATAACTGCAAGTATGTTTTAATAAAATTTTATATATTTTTTTTAAGTAATTTAAAATTTATTATAATAATTTCATTTTCTTCTTGCTCCACGAAAATTATTATGTTTAATTTTCTACTCGTTACTATTTTATTATTTAACAAAATAAATATACACTCTTTATAGTTTTACTATATTTTATTTAAATAAAATATTTTTTTAATATTTAATTGATTTTTATTTGGCAAACTGTTGAGTATGTCTAATTCAATTTAATGCGCTCGGAGGATTAAAAGAATCTGGTAAGTTAAATTGTTTGTACATATGTTTTTGCTTTATAAATATAAAAATTAAAAAAAAACGTATGTGATTTAAAAAAATAAAAATATATATACATAAAAATTTATTGAATTTAATTTAAAAAAAAATTCTGTACTTTTGCATTTCAAAAGTAACAGCAAAAAGTTCATATTTTATTTGATAGAAAAATATTTTATTTAATTTTTTATTGCAATAAAAAATTACACAAAATCACACAAAACAAACAACAAGCAAAAAACAAAAAAAAAAAAGTAAAATTGCAATAAATATTATTGACAGCATAAAGGTAAATGTATCTAGTAGCTACGTACACCATTTATTGTGTATTTGTATCTATGTATCGCGCCAAACACGGATTTATTTATAGTTATTTGTGTCAAAATATTTTTATTGAAGCTGCAGCTTACAAACGTTAACTATATTACAGCATTCCTCCTACCCCGTCCCGCTATTTGACTTTCACTCTACAACAAGCATTTTGAAGTGCATGGTGAGTGACTGAAAAATAAAAATCTAATAAAAAATATTTTGGGTAAACAAGCGCCACTGAAAAATGTCATAAAAGAATGTATTTATGTTGAGATATAAAATATCAAAATTTACAAAACAAAACGCAAAACACAACTGCTAACCAAAAAGTATCTCAGCAAAAAAATATCTAAAATATGCTTTGCAAACAAATGCAAACTCATATGTGAGGAGTTACATGGATACTTAGACCTACTGCTATGGTCACAACTACACAATATACAATATACAATGTACAATATAAAATAAGAGATTATCTTGTATATTTTATGTTGGCATTTGTATCTCTGTATCGACGTGTCTATTAGAGTATGTGTTAGGAAATGTGTTTGTGCCGTTCAGAGCAGTTTCTATTGATACAGCGAATATTTATGGAATTTTTTAGTATCGGCCTTAAATTCCTAGTATTGCTACGGGTTTTGTAAAAAATTATTCGATTTTTCTATATTAAATATTTTTATATAATTTAAAAGCTTTTAGTTTTACAAACTGTAAATATTGCCTACTTTTTCTGAAGTAAGTAATAATTTATAATTATTGTTTACTCAAATTGTTTACTTTATACACAAACTATTCAAAAATGTGAAATTTTACAATGAGTTTAATTTGTACTTCAAATAATAGAAGGACTTTTCTTAAATGATTTAATGCAAAAAGACAAGTGATGACAAAACTGCACTAATAGTAAAGATATTGAAGTTAATCCAATAAACTAGAAACTGTATTTCTCAGTTGTTCCATAATACCAGTTCCTATCCATAAAAAACTAACGGTCCTAAATGTTCAAATTGCGGCCGTATATCACTTCTTAGTAAAGTCTACAAACTACTCACTATTTCGATAAGAAATCCACTAAAAATGTGACACATGAATTTTAGAGTCAAGAAGTCCAAAATCAGTCCCAAGTAGATTTTTGATAACAGTTCGTCAAACCACTTGCCATATTTTTGTATATTATCAAGGCACACTCAAATGGCGGTACATGAATACTGTTGCGAAAAGTAAAACAGATCCACTTGAATTCCTTCGGCATAATGAGATAAAAATTGACTTGAGACGACTTAGCGTTAATAAATTTGGAAATTTCCAACTGGAAGTGAAATGGAAACGTGCTATGAGGATTGCATACTTTGTGTTATAACTTTAGCTCTAAAAAACATGTTATATAATTCTTGTATTTAGACAAGAGTAACTCATACTTTGA